GGGGGGGGGGGCGACACTGTCCTTGAGCCTCCCGTCCTGGAAGTTTAGGGGGGCGTCTGAGGCGGCAAACCGGCAGGGTTGTTTCTTAACGGACCATGAGCCTCAGCAGCATGATCGGGAAAGTTCAGCGCTATTACCGCGCGGGTGAAACTTCAGTTTTATTCAAATCGACCGATATTCTACCTGCAGGCCCAGGTGATGCGGAAAATCTGCCTCCGTGTTTACAGTAAGCCGAGAGAAGGCAGGAAGAACCGCAACGCACCCGGGAGCCCAGTGTGAGCAGCACAACCTCCGCCGCCGACGGAGTCAGACGTGATGCTCCGTCGACGTCTGGCCAGAAGGAGGAGCCAGAGACCCACAAAGCCTAGCCGAAAAAAACACTGCATTCCTCCCACGGCATATTTCCCATTTTATATAATAACAGCAGCTTTGCTCTTTGTCACCGAAAAAGCAGCTTGGACTCTATCGGCTTAAAAATAACCCGAGAGGCACCGCGGACGGCTGGATCGTCGCGGGAATCGGTACGGGGAGATGGTGAATGCCGCAGCACGGAGACCACGGGGACGGGAAAATCACAGGCAGGAAGACAGGAGACCGAGGAGGGGGGAGCAGCCGGGACGGGTGAGACGGACCGACAGAAGGGAAGAAGGAGGCGGCGGACGGCTGTACCTGGCTGATGAGAAAGGTGGCGCTGGAGTCGGACACGGACATGGGCGCCTAGCCGTGCGGACGCTGGCCCTGGCGCTGGCCCATCGCGCGGCTCCCGCCTTCCTGCGCTGTGCCGAGCCGCCGCGAGAAAGCCGCTCACTCTAAGTGCTGGCTAATGCTGTTAGCGCGGCCCGCGGGCGGCTGCCTGCCTGCCATTCCCGCTGCATAATTGATGCCGGCGGTGTAGCCGGGGGGAGGGGGGGTGTGTGGGTGGGTCCTGGACCCTTCTTTCCACATGCCTCTCCCTCCGCATCCCGAAACCGCTCTCTGCTTGCTCTTTTTTTCATGGGGGGGATTTATCATCTGGGGTATGCCGAGGTCGGGTCAAACATGCACTTAAACCCGCTAATACTTCAGCCGAATTTATTTATGCTGCACTCCCCAACCCCCCCCCCCCCCCCCCCCCCCCCCCGCAAATCCCTACACCCCTCGAGCTTAAAAAGTCAGATGCTGCTATCTGCCCCCCAACCCTGTGTCTAAGGGGCACAGAGGCTTTTGTGCAGAGGCAGTGAGCCCCCTGGGATGTTGCTTTGGAACCCCCCCCCCACTCACCCCCGTGGTGCGCTCAACCCCCAGGGGTGCAGCCCCTGAAAATTCCTACTGAATGCACCCCCCCCCCCAACCATTTCTCCAAGCATTTTTAAAGCCAAGTAGGAGGAGGGGCAGGGCTGGGGTGCAGGGGTGTTTATGAGGCCCCCTCATCCTGGGGTCACATCGCTTGAGAGGGACTGGTTTCCATTCCAAGTGGCCTCCCTTCCTCAGCCTGGCTCCGCCCCCCGATCTGTCCACATGCGAAAAGTTCTGACGACTGCTGGCACATCAAGTAATGGGGACCCGGTTACGAGGACAACTGTGACAGTCCCATGCAAAGTGTCCAGCATTACTTTTTTCCCCAATTCTGCAAGATTCCTCTTTATACAGGAGACCAAAGACGCCCCCACATCCTTCAGGAAACACTGCCACGATGTCGCCGTGTTTCAGTCTTTGCTCGCCGAAGCTGCCTAACGCTGGTAACCTGCAGCTTTCGGCCGGGACTTAAGGAAAAACATAAACTACGAAGCACGAGCAAAACATGAACAAAAGTGAACAGCAAACACACACAAAAAAACGAACACACAGTAAAAGCGTATTTTGCTGAAATGGTGCCTCCCTCCCCCGCCGTTCGGCACGGATACCGTCCATTTCCTACACCCATCGTTATTTAATTTGCGTTTAGAGGATGCCAATTTTATTTTCCGCTCGTGGTGTACAAACCAGTGGAAGCCTCCCCACATGCTTTCGGGACGTTTCTGATTCTCCGGTGTCAGGGCGGAACTTCGAGCCGACACAGCAGAAGTGGAAAAACTGCAGTAAGATGGAGCTGGATGTCACCGAAGCTACTGAGGAAAAGCCGCGGTATCAATCACGTCCCTGGCCGTCCAAATCCAGAGGCACGTCTCTGACTTCCTCTCAGGCAGCTGATGGACACCCGCATTAAACATTTAACATGCTAGAGAGAGACCAAGACCTAGAGAGGGAGATAGAGAGACAGAGAGGCAGGGGTCCTTGTTCTGCTAGAGACACCTCTGCCCCAGTTTGTTCTGGATGTCTGTTGACGCTAATGTTTGAGATCAATGTATCAGGCTACACTGACCCTTAAAGGGGGGCCTAAGGTCTCCTTCAGGACGGCCGGTCTAACGTAACCCCAGCCTGCTCACTCCGCCCTCTGCTAACGACCCATCCTAAGAGCCACTTTAGGCTGCATTAGTTGGAGAGCTTTTCCACGGTCTCCAGCCCCCGCGGCGGGGAGGACCACAGGCGGCAGAAGGATGGACGGACGGCCTGGGCTCGTGGAGCGATGCGGCGCGCCTGGATAGCAGCGGTTGGAGAAACTGGAGAGTCGAGAATGGATGGCAAGGTCACCGAGACCAAGTTATATTACCACTGGAGACTTCACGTCTGAGATCTGTGTGGGGTGAACACACACACACACACGCAGAAAAACAGAGACTACAAACACACACACACACAGAGCACCCAGTGGGGATACAGTCACATAAGCAGACATAAAACACACAAACACGGAGACACAAAACCACAAGGCCCCATCGGTCACAGACGCTGCCTTTCAACCGCCAAGGATTGTGGGATATTTAAGTCCACCCTGTCCAGGAGGCACGACAGCCCTGGGGGCACCTCCACCTGCCCCTCTGGTGGGGGCCACAGATATGTCCATTGACCCTTGAAAACAAGGCCGTGGCTGATGGGGGGGCCATGCTAGTTACCGTTAGCCGGAACGGGCGCATCCATACGCTTCCCCAATCCCGTCCCAAAGTTTCGTTTTTAGAGCGTTAAAAAGCGTGGGCTTCCATTGTGGTGTGACTCGAGCTTGCAGTAGCCCAGAAACGTCCATAACAAGTTATTTCTAATGCTACATCTACAATAAATAATGAAAGACGTTGACGTAGTCGGTGCTGGCAGTCCAACTTACTTGCTCATTTCTCGCGAAAGTGCGGGGAAGCAGAAGCTCTCTGCGTCAAACTCATTCGTTCGTTCATTAACCTTTATTTTACCAGGCAAAGCATTAAGAACAGTTTCTTATTCACAATGACAGCCTGGAAGCTGAGAACTCACTGACACTGCGAGCGTCCCCGAGAACAGGGTCCCATACGAGACCCGAGCAGCCCCCGGGGCACCAGGCGGGGAGGGAATCGAATGCCGCCCGGGCAGAGTGGGGGATCGAGGGAGAGGGGTCCTGGTAGCTGAGTACTTACTGGGTCCCGGAAGCTGAGTACTTACTGGGTCCCGGAAGCTGAGTACTTACTGGGCTGGAGAGTGCGGAGGGCTGCTGGCTCGCTATGCTAGGCGGTCACGGCGCGCTCCATCTTCCAGCTCGGGATGAAGTGTACTCTGCTGTTCTTAAACGATCTGGCTGTCTCTCTTTCTCTCCCTCCCTCTCTCCCTACCTCTCTCTCTCTCCTCTCTCTCTCACTTAGTTGGCAGCGACGTCACCGGGATGAATCCATTGCGCTCTCTCTTCCTATCTGCCTTCTTCAACCCCCCACCCCATCCTTACTCGGGTACCTCACCCCTCTTCCCCAGGTGGGAAAACAGGATTGGGGGGGGGAAACTTAGGCTTATCGTTTCGGAGAAGGACAAATGGCACACATTTGGGCCACAATGATCAAGTCTACACTGAGGGACTGTGCAAATGAAAAGGGAAAAAAGGGGGAAATGAAGCACCATCGCCATGGCGACCTCGCAACATAAACAAACAGACAAACAATTCTCTCATAGCAGAACACCAGGAGCATTTTAATAGTGAATAATTACTCTATTTTAGGAAGCTTCATGGCCTTGTGTTTCAGAAGTTTAAATGCCCTAAGAGACGCTGACCTGTAGGTTAACAGCTGTTTTTTTAACCAGAAGGTCCAACAGAAATCCCCTTCAGTGGTGTCATCAGAAGGGGGTGTTTCACCAGCAGCTGCATGGAGCAAATGCCCTGGGGAGGCAGTTTTCCATGACCTGCCCCGAGCAAATCCAAAAGCCCTGAACATCGGACGGACGCCGTCAGATAAGCTGGTTCCCTACATCGGCTGCTTGCTCTTCCCCCGTCTGCGGGCCAAAGCAGAGCCACGTCATGCTTACTCAACAGCGTACCAACAGTGAGGGGAAAAAAACCACCCCCACTGTCTCAAGGCCTGCTGCTTCCGTTAAGGGGGGGTTGAATGTACCCAGAGACAGCCTGGAGACCCTGTGGTCATCATGAGGCAGGACGGTCACGGCCGGCTGCGCAGTGACAGGGACACGCATAGATGCACACACTCACGGGGCGTGCCAGCTCTCTCGGGCCCGCTGAAGCCCCGTGCAACCCCCACCCCGCCTCCCCCCTCTGTCGGGCCAACTGGAGTTCCCGGCCCCGCCCCGAAGGCTTTTTATCAGTGAGCCTCTCACAGACGACCAAAGACACAAGACAAAAACAAAACGAAAAACAAAAACATTTCCCGGAGAGAAAACTAAAGATTAAGGGTGTGAGGAAGCGCTGGTATCATAGCGGTAAGTGCTAAGCTAGCAGGTCACACCCCCGCCGTGCCGTCAGCTGCACCTCGGATGTCTGTGAAAAACAGACACTAAAAAAACATCCATCCATCCATCCATCTATCCATGCATCCATCCATCTTCCATGACCACTCAACTTGTACATGGTCACTGTAAACTCAGAGCCTATTTAAATAAGTAAATAAATGTCATTTCACTATTTCAGCATTTCACTGAACTACATAAATGTGGCAAACCGTGTCGATTAATACGTTTGCAAACTGTATATGCGACTATGCAGTCAGTGGCCACTTTATCAGCTCCACCTGTTTTGTTTAACCTGGGAAGCCTGATTTCTTAGCAGCTTGGAGATAAAGTGGTGAAGCAAAAATAGAGATTCGTCAGACTGGGCAACATTTTTCCGGTCTTCAGTCGCCAAGCCTGTGGAATCCCGTGCAGACAGCAGCCTCATTTCCTGTCGAACCTGATGCATCCCCCCCACCGCCGAAATCCACCCCCTTTTAGGATCGGCAAGCTGCGCCTTCATGTCTGCCCTTCTTCACAAGACAAAAGCACATTTCTTTGAACTTGTGGCCTTAGCGTTTGCACTGTTGGCGTCAACGAATCCGTCTCCTCTGGCCTCTCTCTTTAGCAAGATGTTTTTGGGCGCAGAACTGCTGCTCGCTGGATGTTGTTTTGCGCAGCACACCGTTCTCTGTAAACCGCATGGACGGTGGTGCATGAAAATCCCAGGAGTTTCTGAGATGCTGGATCCAGCCCGTTTGCGCAGGTGTACTTATTAATGTGGCCACAGCATGAATATGTGAGAAAACAGGGTGACGCAGGGTGTAAGGTGGGGCTACACTAGGCTTGGACGCTATCTCACTTTTCATACTGTATCATACTGCAGCATGTAGTATATTGACAGTATCTTCAAAAGTAACGCTATTCCTGTATGTTGAAATCTTGGGAGATAAAATTCACCCAGTAGGGGGAGGATCCCCAATGATTAAATTCACAGAGGACCGCTGCCCCCCAGCTAATTTTGTCAACAAGATATCAAAATACTGCAGTATATCCAAAATATCACAACACTCCATATTACAGTAATACCGGCCAAAACCTAGACTACACCCTGGACGGTGCTCATTCAGGCATGACTTTACACAATGCAGGGAAATTCAGAATCACCAGTCGGACAAAGCTGTACTGGGAGCCTTGCTGAGCTGCTCGCCCCCTAATGTCCATGATTAAAACTGCACGTCGGTGTCAAGACGGTCTCACCTTTAAAAACCAGAGCATGACCTGGTCATTTTGAGCTCTGTTTAAAGTCAGCATCAGAGCCATGCAAGGGATACGCA